GAGAGAGAGGAGGGGGGAGGGGCAAGAGGAAAAGAGAGAAGAGATCAAAGGGATAAAGAAAGAGAGAGAAGAAGAAAACGGACAGACAGCTATCCAAACAGACATGCATATAGACAAAATCGGCGACAGATGGATGGCTAAAGGTCACCATCTAAACACAAACTACAATTTAAGGGGCAGGGTGTGTTGAATAATTGGTTTACTCTCAAACAAAAACGCAAACAGTGGTATGAAGTAGTGTTGCCATAATAATAATAATAATAATAATAATAATAATAATAATAATAATAATAATAATATACTCACCCCGTGCGGGCGAATGTGGTCCACAGCTTCATGACCTCAACACTAAGGGTCTTTTCGTCTGAAGGCGAGAGTGAGTTGGGTGCCAGAGGAAGACCAAAGACAATCTCAATTTCGTAACCATGCGCAACGCCAAACCATTCGGGCCAGGGATTGTCTGCTACTCGATGCTCGAAGCTGTACATGTACACCTCTCCTCCCAAGTTTGAATACGCCTGACCGAAGTCGATTAGAGGACACTTGAAGAGGACATCACCGGAGACAGCGTCAACGATTTCAGCATACGAAAGGGAAAGGTCCTTAAAGTACTCGTTTTTTACTTGCTGAATCTTGTTAGGGTCATCTACGATTTTAGGCAAGATGTTGTCAAATTGTATTTGATCTATTTGACCGTTACCCTCGAGAGGGAAGTCTTTGATGAAGCCGTAGAGGTCGAAATAAATGCCCTCGTTTTTGTTCATCCCCAGAATGACGCTTGTTCGTTTGATGTCCCCACGAGCGAGCATCGAGACGGGATGGTCAGGTATAAATTTCCCGTCCACTACAGGAGCGAAGGTTGTGTCAAAGTATTTCTCAACAAAATCCCACTGGTTATTTGAAAGAACCTCGGGATCTGCCTTCCTCAAACACTGCATGAGTTCATCCTCAGACGCTTTACCGTCACACGATACAGATGCTGCTAGCCCCAAGGATCTGGCTTTTGCCTTATCATTCGCCTGAACGGCCCAATTCGCTATTGGGGCAGAGCTTTCCATGATGGCGTAGCTGAACAGATCTCTAGTCTCAGGAGAGAACATATGGAGTCCGACACTAACAGCCCCAGCGCTTTCTCCAAAAAGGGTGATGTCATCAGGGGAACCCCCTAGTCTCTCTGCATTGTCTCTGACCCACTTCATAGCCATGCCCTGGTCAAAAAGTCCTGCATTTCCAGGAACATCGTCGTTGCCTAAGTAGAGGAAACCTAGAGGCCCGATTCTGTACGCAATAGAGACGACAATGACGTCATTTCTGGCAGCGAGGTAAGTCGCATCATAAACGCCAAGGGTTGCTGAACCAGCCCAGAAGCCACCTCCATAGATCCAGATCATGATTGGCTTGGGTTTACTTGGAGCAGAGCTCTTTCCTCTGTTGGGGAGGTACACATTCAGGTAAAGGCAGTCCTCGCTGCGCGGAGTGTTCGGGTTCCACATCTCCACCCCCCAAAAACGGTCAAAAGCCGTGTCAAGCGCTTGCCAGCAGGCGTCCGGCATTTTTGTGCCGTCAAGAACTCCATTCCATGGATCTGCGGGGACAGGAGATTTGAACCTCAGCTCTCCAAGAGGTGGTTGGGCAAAAGGAATGCTGTAGAAAACGTCGACGTAAGTGTTGTTGCCGGCTGGTTTCCTCACGCCGCTCACTTGGCCCAGAGACGTGTCTAGTGTAACGAGGGAAGACGGGAGGTTTCCGAGGATACTGCTGGGTAGCACAACGGCCAGACCCAAGGCCAGAACACAGCCAAGAAGATCCATGTGTCCTGTGATAGTGAAATGAATTAGAAAATGTCTCTAGAGAAAAATAACAAAGTAAAATAATATCATAAATTTATACACTTGCTTTGACAAATTAAATCAACAAAACGGGTTTTGTTTGGCGAGCAGCTGGTAGAAGTACTTGGTTGATTAAAAGAATTACAAAAATAACCTTCTTAATTATTCAACCGTTTTCAAACAAAGTCAAAGCAAATGAAAAAAAAAGTTTTACCAGCAAAACGGACAATCTCACGGATTTCCTTCTTGAACATGTAAAAAAAAAGGTAGTCGAAAAAGTAATACAGGACACATTTAATAACAAAACAGAAAACAAGATGTTTAGAGTTGCAAAATTAAATAAGACTTTCTAATAGGAAAATGAAATAAAGAAAAACTCGTGGATAAATTTCCTGATTTCTTCATTGTCAGTTTCATAACATGCTGTTACTTTTATTAACCTAAACTTCACAAAAAAATGTTAAGACTTCATTATATCTACGTTTGAAAGAATAAACCCGCTGAAAAGAATAGAAAAGCGCAGGTACCTCGGCTTTCTCGTTTTCTGTAAAGAAAACAGCTTTTACTTTCTCTCAAGATCAGCAAGGATTCAGATCTGTGCGTGCGGACGTGAGTGTTGATTCAGTTCAAACCGCGCTCTGTGACGTCTTTGAGAATGAGAGCTCACGGCCGCACGCCCGATCTTTATAGAGCCGAGAGTCGTGCGTGAGCTTACTAACGTCAGAGAAGGGCGGGGGGAGGGGGCAGGGCAAGATCGGCTAATTTTAACCAATTATCGATACACGCTTTGCAACCAGCCATATCAAATTGACTTTCCCATCATGCCTAGTATCTTTTTTACTCAGCCGCAGATTAATCAATGCTCTACTTTTTCAGTTTGTAAATGTACTATTATGTTTACTTGGTACCAGAGTCTGTAGTGTAGCAGTTTGGTGCTTCACTGTCGCACACAAGAGACTCAAGTTTAGTTCTAGATTAGAGCAAATGTTAAGGGGTATCTTAGTCTCTCTGCTGGGATGTTGTACGTTTACCGTGTCAGCCCAGGTTGGTCCTGACAGACAAGGTTGGACGCCCGCCTTCTAAATGAACTAAATTGTGTCGAAGAGTGTATAAAGAAAAGAATATATAAAGCATTTTTAGTAATACTATTCCTCAGAAATTGTACCAAAAAAGAAACAGAAACAATGCAAACGGTGTCCATTTTCATACAAGTAAAAACTCAATAAGGCACAAAAGTAGTCAACCTCCGTTCCCACTTCTTTCTATAACCTCCTTCATCCCCATCCAGATTCTCATCCCCCTCCACCCCCCCCCCCCCAAATCACCGTCAGCAACCAATAAACTTACTCTTTCCGCGAAATGGATTCATATAAAAATCCCTGACTTGTTTTACACGCATACCATGGAATTAAATAGGAGAACTAGGTGGATTTTTTTTTTCAAAAGCCCTTTGCAGGCTCTTACAACCTGTGTCTCAGTGAACAAAAATATTCATTCTGACGACCTCTTGCCCCACTCTGACAGCTTGTTTTCTAGAAATCACGAATAGACCCACATGGCAAGCCAAGGTTGTGTTAAAAATAGCATTTCTAGTTGCTACAGTGACGTAGATAGCCAGCTATGGAAGCGTGCTGGAGATGAGCACATTGATCCCATCGACAACTCTCTCATAACATGTCTCAGTTTGCCGGCAGTCTCTTTCTTTCTTTCCTTCTCTCTTTCTCTCTCTCTCTCTCACTCTCTCTCTCTCTCTCTCTCTCTCTGTGTCTCCTGACGTCTGTGCAGAACATGCTATATCGGGAAGCAACAAGGAAGCATTTTTTCAAGATATTTTCTATCACGTGTGGCGATAAATGCGCAAACAATGTATATTAATAGCATCTAAAATTATCTATTTGCCATGCTTCACCACAACATGGTTGGCTTATTTTTGTTTTAATCCAAAGACACGTAAAAAGGAATCTTCATTTTGTTTTTGGTTAGTTATTTTGTTAATGTGACATTTTTGTTGTTCATTTTGGGTATCGCTTCTGCTGTGATGCTCAAATAATTTTTTTGTTATTACAATTGTTATTGTTGTTGTGGGATATAATAGGACGGTGGTCAGAAGTCGCCACTCGTTGCTGCTACCACTTTACTTTTCTCCTACTGATTCTACCTGTTTGTCTTTCCTCATCCCCGCACTAGAAGACCATGCGAATATTCTTCTTTTTATAAGAACTGAGATGTTGTGGCAAGACCAAAGGTTGTGCATTTGGAGGGGGGCAGAAGGGGGAGGATTAGCGACTGTGGATGGTTTATATTTTTGCTCCTGTCACTTTCTTCTGTGAAACTGATGCTGCTGTTTTGTTTTTGTTTACATTATTTTGGGGTTGTTTTTTTTAGTTCAGATTTATGTACACTTGGAGCTCTTTGTACTTCAGTTTGAGAAAGAGCCTGCATAGCAACATCATAAAAACTGTGTGTGTATACTTAAACGTGGTCAAACATCAAATCAGTGAGCCCGGAACTGGACAATAAAGATGTATCTGATCTATTTTATCCTATCTTATCTTATACTGCTGAGAAAAAGTAAAATCAGCTCTCAGCAACAATAGAGTAAGAGAAACGAAGTGCTACTCTGATGTTCAAGATCCAAGTACCAAGTCGTGGTCTAAAACAACCGCCTGTACAAGCGACTGCTTTCAACCAACGTCCCACCTTCCATTTGTTTATTTTATTACAATAATAGTCTCTTAGGCTTCCGGGCCATAGAAACTCACCCCTCAGGTCTCACGCGCGTGTCTCACGCCTAAACGCGTGAGCGGAAAAATGTACTGACGTAATCTTACTTGGGATGGGCCATAGACCTCTGCTCACGCCTCACACTTCACAGGTCACGGCTCACACGTGAGCCTAGAGGTGAATATGTGCCCACCATTTCGGAACTTCACGGTTACCGTAAAGATGGTTCCAATAGGGAACGGGATAGAGGGTGCCTACGTCCTTCGTGACTCACTGGAGCATAGGAAGATAGGGCTAACGCTAACATTACTTAAACGCAACCCCACATCATCACTCATCACTACCATTGGGTCTAAAATCATCACTGCTCTCAGATCAACGACTTAAATCTATAATCCTGAAATCTCTATCTGCTGTTACAGTTACTTGTTATTTTAAGTATTCATATAACACACTATTGGACTCTATCATATGCACTTTGTTTCTGCTAATCAGATGGCGTCACTCTCATATAAATGGGTAAGGGAAAAGAAAAAAGAATTGAACATGTTCACTTTTTTGGAGACGTGAGTCGTGGACAGACTGGATATCAGAGCGCCCCCCCCACCCCCACCCCACCCCCGGTAGAGCTAAACACAGGCCAAATTCCGTTGTCAACAGAGTGCAATTATTATTTTCTGGTCAGGATGGATGATTACAAAGAAAGATTAATCGAGTTTGCCCGAGCAAGGCCTCCGCTCTGGGACCCATGTGATCCTGACTACTAAGACAAAGATCAAAGGGCACAAGTTTGGGAAAACCTTTCCAAGATGCTGACTGTAAAAGAATTCTTCATCAGGATTGTCCACGAGAAGCTGGAATGCCCGGTTAAATTCTCCTCTCGATTCTCTGAGCTAAAATGCTCTCGGCCCTATATTATTATACTCCGTCTCTTTCGCTTCCTTCATCTGAGGAACAACAAAATCAGCAAATCTTCTTCGTTCGATGATTCCATCTTGAATTGGAGTGAGGCGTACCGCATGAGCCCTTATGGCCTGGCTGGCCGTGAGGCATGAGGCGTGAGGCCTTAGGCGTAAGACGTGAGGCGTGAGTTTCTATAGCCTTGAAGCCTTAGATGTCTAACTTTCTAAGGTAACCGTTCTTCAAAACAATGGGTGACTGTTTTGTACAGCTTCAAATATAGAACATACAGTGGTTGTTCACCAATCACATTCTTGAAGTTCTTCAAGAGTTGTATATTATGTTAGTTAAGGGGTTAAAGAAACATTTTGATAAAGGCTTCGCTGAGGGCGCGAAAAGAGCGAGTGGTTGGGGGCATGAGTACTAAAAAAGCGTGTAGTTGTAAACAATAATGATAACCATTTTTTTTTTTTTTGAGAAAGTTATAATCTGGTCAACGCTAAATGCACAACTTGGCGACCTCATGACACAGAATCTAAGAGACGAATTGCTCTGATTTTTTGCATGCACCTGTAACTAAAAAGAAATCCCAACTAATTGAATGCTAGATTTTCGTGCACGTGCAACCAATATAAAGAGGTGTTTTATATTATCATTAGTATTTAATTATAAATTGGGCGGGGTTCTTTGATGAGATTACGAGCGGTAGTTTAGTGTAAGATCTGTTTTGTTTGTTGTTTGTTTTTGGTTTGGTTTTGTTTTGTTCTTTTGAACTGCCTATATTTGCCGTAAGACTGAGTTGTTGTCAGTCCAGCAGCTAGTGGGTGATGGCATGTTTATTTAGAATGACTAAGCTTAATTTGTGATAATAATATATACTATGTGTAACATTTCTTTCATATCTGCCCAGTCTTTGAGATCGCACACGTTTTAATTTGCTGGCACTTTAAAAAAATTATTAATCACCATGGTTAGCTTAATTAAATTACACCCACAAAAAACTGTTGTCCTAAAACTGCTGAACTATTTCTCCTGTGAAGTTGATAGAGTCGTCTCTTTTAATTTATAAAAAAATCCCGAAAAAAGGCAAGACTACGCTGCTCAAATGGATTAAAGAGGATGAAAATCCAGAAGAAAAACAACAAATTATGACAAAGAAACATAATGCTTCCAATATTACTACTTTCAAATTCAGGTGGCTCCAAAATGTATGTGTAAGGATTGGCGGGGGGGGGGGGGGGGGGGGGGGGGGTCTGTCTATGAGCCTGCACTGGGGTTGTTTGGTTGTTGTTGTATGTTTTTTTTGGGGGGTGCTCAGTGATATTTCCATTAGTGTTTCAAATTTAGCGCTCTGTTAACCCCT